TAGCCAGGTCTTGAGGGCTGTGCGGAAGGCCTGAACGGTGGTGAGGGTGCGTATCTCGACGGGGAGATCGTTATTATTATAAATAATAATAAAAATAAAGGGCTATTCCGTCTTCTGATCCTAACGGCTGAGTCTCTGACTGAGTCCCTCCTAATACAGTTAGTCATTGACTTAACAGTTGTTCTTCAGTGACTGTTCGAAGTTATCAACAGCACTGGAAAAAAAAGTGACTTATGACTATTTTTCACATGACCTTTCTGGCATTCCCATGGTCACATGATTGAAATTCATTTGCTTGTCAACCGACTCATATTTATGACGGTTGCCATGTCCTGAGATCATTTTTTTGCAACCTTCTGTTAAGCAAAGTTAATGGGGAAGCCACATTCATTTAATAGCCTTGTTACTAAACAACTGCAATGATTCACTTAACTGTGGCAAGAAAGGTTATAAAATGGGGCACAACTCAACAAATGTCTCCCTTTGCAACATAATTTGTGATTGTAAGTGGAGGGCTACCTCTTTGCATGTTTGCCTGGGATTTAATCACATTTTTCCTAGTTCTGTATGGCCTGATGTAGTTTTACCACATAAACCACAAAACGGGCCCTTTAATGCTGTGGAACAGCTAGACAATCGCAATTGACTTTGCTTTATAAGCCTATTAATATTTTTTTCTTCTCACATTGTATGAACTTTCACATGCACAGCTGAATGTAACTGATCTATCGTGACCTGCATTGGAAATTCTTAGGCAAAATTAATCTAAGTTTATTTTGAAGTTTCTAAACCTCATCTGGAAGAACACCACTGTAACTGACAGTGATCAAAGATAACTCACCAACCACCCAAAAATATAATTCAACTGCACTTTAAAACATTACCTGCAGGGCAGTGAGGAAGTTCCTCTTTCGGAACACTTGTCATTCTCTGGAAATCATCGTGACAAGCATTGCAAAAATGGGTGGTCCCGAAGCAAAAGAAAACAGCCACTGAACAACAGTAGCGGCATTTGTACTCTAGAAAATCTGTACCATGTTTGGGACACATCTGTGGGGGGGAAAGGAAAAAAAACAGCTTAAGCTGAAGAGAGTGAACAGTGATTCTTGATTTAAGATCTATGAAGATGCATGCAATGCTGGCTGGGGAATTCTGGGAGTTGAAGTCCACAAGTTGCCAAAGTTGGGAACCCCCTGAACCTATTGAACATGTCCCCAAAATGGCTGAAGGAAAATGCTTCACTACCTGAGCTCTTGATACATCAGAACAGGCGCCGCAGATGAGTTCCCTGGGGTCATAATCATCTCCTTGTCCAGCTTCAGCATCACAACGGGCTTCTCCACCAAAATAAGCCTGGAGAAAGAAAAACCAAGAAGAAACGCTGAGTACCATCACACCAACTTCCAGAAACATCAGTGAAACAGCAACAGGCCTCCTGCGATGCCTTGTATTTTGTGTTTCCAGCTTTTCTCCGCTTTAGGGAAGAAAAACAAAGCAAGGACAGTACGAATGAAGGGCTTTCGTTAGGATCCAATACAAACATGCTTTTTTGTTTCAAACTCCGTTTGGAACGGATCTCTTATGAAATTGGGCTGGTAATGAACTATAAAGGTGTCATGCTTTTGAAGCAAATACTTTCAACATTGGTAGTAATGGAAAGTTGTACCTATTACATGTGAAACATGAATTAAATAATAGAAAGGGCATTAGGATATATCCATTTGAAAAAATGTCCTAATTCCACATGTATTCCAAGTATATGTGTTTCTGGCAGCAAAGCTTCTGGGAGTAACTGGATTAACCACCGCAAAGTCTGCTAAAGGACAGTCTTGGGTGGAGCTACTAGGGCAGCTGGAGCTACTAGGCTAGCTGAAAGCATCTGGAGAAAAGAGCAAAAGACCTTAGGAACTGAAAAGATACTGAATAAAGGAAGAGGGTAAGAAAGGCCATTTGTAAGAAGATGTAATTAAATTTAGAAAATAATAGAGGAAAATAGAGGAAAGAAAAAAGAGATTCTTGAAAGCAAGAGTTTGGAAACTGAAAGTTGAGAAATCAGTCACCCCCATTTTGGTTGTTAAGTATCTAGCCTAAGCATCACTACCAAAACACTGATACTGTAGTTCAACTCTCCTTCAATTTTTGTGAGGAAGCTGGATTGAAAAAATACATCTGGTACAAAAAAGCCCCCAGCAGAATTGTGATTTTTTTTTTAAAAAAAAACATTTTTGGTCAAGTATAATTTGCTTGGATATAGAGCAATCATAGTGTTATCATCTAAAAATATAGAGCTCAGTAAATAGTCAAGAAATGGATGTCCCTCTTTATCAATCATGCCGAAACACACATCTCCACATGTCCTCCATCTGAATCTGGATCATACCTTCTTGCATTTGTAGCAAACGTAATATGCGTATCTGTTCATGGCAAAGCCAGCAGGGTCATTATAAAACCGAACTCCGGGTGTTGTGATGGCTTCACTCTTGTGCAGCCCTTCATATTCCAGCCTCATTAAGGCTTTCCTCTTCACATCCTCATAAAGTTCCTTGATTGGATCAAGTAAGTCCTTTAATACCGCGTGGTTTATTTTGTTCTGTTGGGTTAAAAAGAAAGAAGCAGTAAGCCACAAATCACGGTTTACTGTGCAAAAAAGATCCTAGTTTGCTTGGTGTAAACAAGTGACAACTAGTCTGTTCATGTAAACAGCTCTTCTGTGAAGAGGAAAGGAGAACACAGGCCAAAACAATTAGGACTGGAATTTTGATGGCCATAAATTGAGGCACTCATAATAGAACTCATTTATGACCATTGTTAAGCGAATCACGTGCAAACTCCCTAATGAGCATTCTCCCCCCCCCCTTGAAACTTGCAAAAAATATCACAAATTGCAGTCCCATGACTATGGGGCATGTAACCAGTCATAAGTACGAGCCAGTTGCTAAACATCCAAAATATGGGATACAAATAAATATTTACTTAAGAACAAAGAAAAATAATTGCGGGTAATTTGATCACATGCAATTTTTTTTTTTACTTCTTTCAAAACTCAGACTTAATTTATTAAGATTATCAATGGATAATCAATGGAGACAGAAGTGTCTCCTTCAATGTAAATTACAAGATGCCTAATAGAAACTCTTGGCTCTGTAACTTACCTTGCAAATGGGGCAGGACATGAACCCAAAAGTAATGCGGGGGCCAAGCCATCGGTTTTCTAGAACCCGGCAGCAGCATTGTAGGTGGAATATATGGCTACAGTCCAGCTGCAGAAAGTAAGAACTATGAATACATTTGCACTGATACTCTGATAGATCCAGCAACGCTCAGCATTCCCGTAACTTTCCCTAACTGCAATGCTTTTCACAACTATCAGCCATGATTTGTTGAAAAATCAAAAGGGGTCTGATTTCCACATTACATCCACCTTGTTTTGGAATTCATCAAAAGCAATGGACCCTATTAAACCAGGCTTGGAAGCTGATCGGAACAGTGCTGCACGTTTCCCCTCTGATTTAATGGAACTTGGCTTGAGCTGCTGCGCCATGTCTGCAGTTGGCAGTGGCTTCACTGGAGCCCTGGCCACCCTTAGAGTGAATCAAGAGGATAAATCAATGTTCTCTCACTCTTGTACTGAATCAAGAGGGGTTGGCTGGAGGATCAGAGGAAAACTGCCTTCTCCTTTCCATCAAATCCGTTCAGGTGGTCCCTGCTAGGCAGAGCTTAGCTGTAACTTATGGTCAGCCTTCAATGGATTTCTGCTCACAAAAACCAGCTTAATGGTTTGTCTTATTTTCTTTTTCTTTTTTCCTACCTAGGCAACTTCCTAGCTCTGACGCCTGAGCACCAATTTGGCACATTTGACCAAAACGAGTGTTATTTGTCTCTCAATTCCTTCTCCTGTTTGGCAAAGTCAGCTCTAGCCAAAAAGGTGATGTTGCAAAGTCATGGTACCCACATAGATCCTCAGTTCTAATTTAAGGTCCCTTGGCACTTATGTTTTAAATGCTTATTCTTCATGCCAAACAGAATATTCATTTTAAATATTGAACGTCAATCGTGCCAAGGTCCAGTTGAACCACAGTAAGACAGCTGATAGTCCTGATACATAGAAGCATATGAATATCATCGATAGTACCAGAAGAAATAGGACAGCTGACCCTCTGCCCAGACTTGCTGGGACCCAGGAGTTGGTGTTAAGAGAGCAGCCCACCTGAATTGCGGGAGCTGCTGAAAGTGCTTCCGTGAAGCAAATCATGCACATGTCGTCGGCGTCTTGCTTCAGGGCGGTGGGGGTGCTCTTGTCGCAGCCATGCAGGCAGGGCAAGCACAGGTCCTCATTCCTGACTCCTCCGCAAGGATGGCCACAAGGGTGGGTTTTGCTGCAGGCGAGTTTAGCATATTCCTAGGAAAGGATCAGCCCCATCAGTGCAAACATCACGACGATTCAAAACCAGACGCATGAACATCAGCTGGCAGTCAGACGCCACATGATCCCAAATCGCTAATATCTACCCACACTCAGTTGGATTGGAGCAATACCAGAATCACCAGCCATGCTATCATAACCGGCTTCCCCAAACCACAAAGCAACTCCTTGTCCCGACAAAAAAAAACCTTATTAATTTACTGTGAACTCTGCTCATTTACATCCAGCAAAGTCTTTCAAGGGTGGATTTACAGTCACAGACCTTATCTGGCTTGGAGAACTGCCAGGCTAATATCTCTAAACTTGGCAAGGAGTCTCAGATAGTCACGAACCAATTAAGCGAACAAATTGTCTCCTGCAAACTCCACTCCCCTTTCGCTCCTCTTTTATTTCCTCTCGGAGGGGCCATTCATCGTCCACCTGTGGCCTTCCTCCCAAGTCAACCCCTGTTTCCTTCACCTGACAACTGGGAACAGGCTCCAGCTGTTTGTCTGCCTCACTGATGTCTGACTCTGAAGGCAGCTGATAGCTGGCATATGGCTCTGGCCCCATCTCTGCCTCCGACACAGAGCCCTCATCAGAGCCTTCCAAAGCCTCCAGGACTGGCCCATGTTCCTCCCCAACCTCCTCAAATCCGCTGACTGCTAGCGGGCCACAACAGTGCGTTCATCTAAGCCTGGAAATCCACAAGCGAATCCATCAACAGACACAGGGACCTACAACCAGCCTATAAACCCTCAGAATTCAAATCCACCACACTGCCAAGCAGAGATGGCACTGACCCTCAACCAATCCCAACACCTCCCCCCCACTTTACTTCCCAGTGACCTTCACTTGACACACCCACACCTGACCCATCACAAGACTTGCTGACCATACAAAGCCTTTGTAAGCAGAGGAACACAGATACAGACATCCCCTAAACTCCGCTGAAAATGTTACCCAGCCAAGTAATGAAACGTTCGGAAACAAGCTTGGAGAATGAACCTCCACCCTCATCCTCCACCCGAGCGATAGATATTTGCCACCGTTGCAATCCATCAATATTCTTTGCAGAGGAGCAAAAAAATAAAAAAAAAGGTTTGGAAATCTTGGAATGAATGGGCAGAAATGGCAGAACTGTCTTCTGGCTAATTAGGTGCTCACGGAGGAAGCCATTCCCTTCTCTCTCAGTCAGAAGCAAGTATTTTGAACAGGAAAGGGAGTGTGCATTTAACAGCTTCATCGGACTTCAGATAGAAGCAGCCACCTATGTATAATAAAACTGTATTTGGCTATAGGAGAACCCTCAGAGGACAGCTGTCCCACCCTGACCCTGTTCTGCCCATTCCTTCACCCAGAACTGAACTATCCTCCTCACCCAGCTGAGCTATCCTCCTCGAGGTGCCACTCAGGAGTGACATTCTCGAGTTCCAAGTACCATATTTTTTGGAGTATAAGACGGACCTTCCCCCCTCCCCCCCCCCCCAAATAAAAAGTCTTAGTCACTTAATGTGGATTTAGGAGGAATAGTTACCATATTTTTGGGAGTATAAGACTCATCTTTTTCTCCCCCAAAAGAGGGTGAAAAACTGGGTGTGTCTTATATACTGAATACAGCCTTTTTGGCCTCCTGAAACCCTGCCCCCTTCACCAAAATGGCCGTGCATAGCTTCCAGAGTGCTCCTGGGGGCTGGGGAGGGCAAAAATGAGTGAATAATGGGCCATATTTTGCTTGTTTTTGCCTCCAGCCCCCAGGAGCACTCTATAAGCCTCCTAAAGGCTATGCATGCCCTTTTTTGACAAAAAGCAGGCCCGTTTTCGCAAAAAACAGGCTGTTTTGGGGAGGTCCGCAGAGTGCAAAAACTTTTTTTTTTAAATTTGCGTCTTCAAAATCTTGGTTTGTCTTATACTCCGAAAAATAGGGTAGTTCATCTTGGACATTCTCAGACTTGGTTTGGGTGTACAGACCTGGCAATCGGCATCTGAGCAGACACTGCCAACAGCAGATAACTCTGTTCCGTTTCGGCAGCCACAGAAACGACATACTTCGCAGCTGCTTGTGGTGGGTTTGCCTAGATCCAAACCAGAAAGAAAAAGAAGAAGAAAAAAAAGATACTTTCGTATTATTAATCAGGCAAATATTAACCATTCTACCACGAGGAAAGGATTCTACCCAGCAGCCATGGCTTTGCAGTACCAAGACAAGGCAGGCCCTGGAAAACTGAAGCATCTAGCACAAACTTTTTCTGGCTCGGCCTAATGGCAGCAGCTTTACAGGGTTTTCGGTACAGACACAGATCTACTTGCCAGGTCCTCTGGAATCAGAGATAGATCCTGAAAAGGTCTGTGCGTCAAACAGGACTCCCTGGGAAAATCCTGCAAGAAGGGAATTCACATACAGTACTTTTGTGATTCGCTTTAAAACATGCAGCACATGAGGTGCTGGGCAAAGTCATCCGTCAGGCATCATTTCTGCACTGATGTCGTAATTATTATTTGAACTTGTATGCCACCCAATTCTCAATGACTCTGGGAAACCCACAACAATCAAACAAAGAAGGTACAATCCAACCCGTTAAAACAAAGATTTTTTTAAAAATGACAAACACGATGAAGCCAGAGTGCTACTCTCCCTTGCTAAAAATCTGGGTGAAGAGCCAGGTTTCAAGAGCTCTGCTAAAAAAAACAGCAGGAACCGATCTTGAGGGTCACTTTTTTCCAGAGGGAAGGTGCTGTTATAGAGAATGAACATGTTCAGCAGTGGTGGATTCTGGATCCCGTTGCAACCGGTACGGTGCAATGGAGCTGGGCGTCCAACCGCATGCATGCATGCGTACATACCACCCATGACGGCTCTGCGACGCTCCAGCTGCTCAGCAGAGCGTCATGCAGGCACCGTGTGCTCCATGCGTGTACGCGTAAGCCCTGATTGGCTCAAATACAGGTAAGAAGGGCGGGTGGGTGGGCCCTCCGGAGAACAGTACCGGAATAGTACCTGGTGCTCCCAGCAGGCACCGGTACGCCCGTACCAGGGTGTACTGGTCGTATCCCACCACTGATGTTCAGGGTCCCAGGCGAGGACATGGTTTAACTGAGCGTATGTCAACCATGCAGGATCGAAACAACCAGGCAGATGTTAGGAGAGACATGTTAGGGAGAAAGGGAAGCTGCAAATTAGGTTCAAATCTTAGTCAAGATCATGACATATGTGCAAAGACACTTTTTGATCGGGGTGCCTGAACCAAGAGTCCCCCCCATCCATCTATGCTTGTGTTATTCTATGCAAGCCAGGAACCCAATTCAGAAAATATTTTGCAAGCCAATACTTGTATGTAAATACACATGAATGAATGAATGAATGAGTGAGTGAGTGAGTGAGTGAGTGAGTGAGTGAGAATTGTATGGCACACACTCAGAATGCTGAATGTATTTTACATTGCCATCGTTGAAATGATTAAAAAATAAAATTTTAATTAAAAATAAATCTTACCTGTATGTTCTCTGAATTCCACCATAGCCTTCATGGTTTTAGAATCGGCTAGTGCCATCAACCAGAAGAGTTTAGTCCTACCACAGCCTTCATGAAGATCTACCTTGATAGCTTCTTCTTCTTCTTTGAACACCTGTTGGGTTTGCCAAACACATATTAAGAATTGTAATTAGGGAGTCTAGATGATAAAAATTCACATTTAACACCCACCCATAAATATAAAATAAATAAAATATAAAATAAAGTAATAAAATGAAATATAAAATAATTATAATAAAAATGAAATAAAATATAAAATATAGTAAAATAAGAAAATAAAATGAAAATGAAATAAAATAATATAAAATAAAATAATAAGCTATAAAATAAAAAATGAAATAAAATTAAAAATAATAATAAAATAAAATAACAATAATTAAATGATATATAATATAAAATATGGTAAAGTAATAAAATAAAACATAAAATTAAAATGAGATAAAATAATATAAAATAAAGTAAACTATAAAATAAAAAAATGAAATAAAATAAAAAATGAAATAAAATAAAAAATAAAATAAAATAAAAAATAAAATAAAAAATAAAAGAAAAATAAAGTAATAAAAGAAAATATAGAAGAAAAGAAAAAAATACAATGAAATCAAGCAAAGTGTTAATTATGCAATTCCATTTCATAGGATATAATCTCAACCTCTATTCTCCATCCAAGCGCTGACCCTGGCTCGGGCGTTCCCTGCTAATCCGGGGTGATGACATATAATCCCCTGATTGATAAACGCAAATCCCTACTATATTTTCTCATGTGACTAGCAGATGACTAATTATAAACTTGGATGCCATCTTTTTAAAAAAAGAAATTTTAAATATGGTTCTTTTGCCCAGAGTTAGGGAGCCTGACTCATACATCACCTGCCGCTGATGTGACTTTGTCCGTCGATGGAGATGGAGGAATCGATCGCAGTCTGTGCAGAGATTCCCACAGACGTTGCATAAGATAATGGCCGCCGTTTCTCCATCATCATGGTTATCACACATCGGCTGGAAGATTTTTTTTTTAAAAAAAGATCAATCTAAGGTTAATAAAGTCTTCTCAGAGTTGAACTTGTTTCCTGTTGACCTTTCCTCTAAAGCACAATACATAATTTGTTGCTGCATCCTTCTAGCATTTTTTTCTCTCCTTATTTTCGCGCGTGGCACGACAAAACCGCGCTCGACTAAAGCGCGCCCGATTAAACCGCGTCGCTGACGTCATCATCAGGGAGACAACAGCGAGCGCGGAGAAAGAAGAGCGCTTTAAATGGTGCTTTGAAAGCAAGCCGATTCAACTTAAGGTAAGGGTTAGCTTTAGGGTTAAGTTTAGGGTTAGGGTTAGGTTAAGGATTAGGGTTAGGTTTAGGATTAGGTTTAGGGGGGTTAGGTTTAGGTTTAGGGTTAGGTTAAGGATTAGGGTTAGGTTTAGGATTAGGTTTAGGGGGGTTAGGTTTAGGTTTGGGGGTTAATTTTAG